GGTAAAGGTTTCTGTATTGTCAAAAGCATGTGAAGGAATTCGATAGTATATATTTTCCATTTTGTTCTCTTGTTAATTTGGTAATAAATACGAGATATAATCCCCATACAACACCTAAAGCTTATGCAATCAACAATATTCTTTATCTTCCTTTTTCTCTTCAATTCTCTATCATTTCAATCACCAATTCTTTTCTTCAGGGAACTTCTAAAAAAATGAAAAGGAGATCTGGATCCATTTCCCGTACCAACCCCATACCCCCTTGAAAAAAATTCCTCAGAATTTGATGGCTGTAAAGAATACGTGAAATCACAAGTTCACATCATGAGAACCCTCTAATATCGGCTAAACAAAAAGGAAACTTGAAAATAGAACAAGCGTTTATAAGTGTCAACAATATAAGGCAAGCTGTAGACTCACAGCTTCGATAAGCATTTGTACTTCAGACTCTCCTAGCTGTGAATTGAACTTCTGTAATCCAACCTTCAGTTCTTCAGTTGAAACAATACCATCATTGTTAGTGTCTATCTTAGCAAACATCTCTTTTATGTCTTCGACTTCGTCATTGGACAAGAAATCAGCAATGACCTAATCATAGAAAAAACTTCAAATGTTTTTCCGAGCACCTTTGTTGGAGAAAAGAACAAAAAGAAATTATAATAATAAACCAACCCTCAGAGCCTTCCTCTTGAACCTATTCATCAACGAGAATTGCTTGAGTCTTGACTTGACAACATCTCCAAGAGGAATATTTGGAGCCTTCTTTGCATTTTGTAGCCAAGGATGTTCTGTTAACAGAAACAACTATTCATCAAGTCAAACATAAGAAAAAATCAATCCTATGTTCTTCAAATATGATAATAAATTTCAAGGCATCTTAAAACTCAAGGAAATCTGCACAGATATCATTGTTAGAACAGACAATTGATTGGGGCATCCTCACTGCCTCCAACAATAGCAGTCTGATTCAGAGTGCTCAATATTCAACAACCAACTTTATAGTAATTTTTTTGTTCCGTTTTACCCTCAAATGTTTTTTATTCTGGTTAGAGGAATTATAAAACAACGACCTAACTCAAAAGGTTCCTTTTGTAGGATGTATGTTTTGACTTAGCCACGCCATTATCAAATCCGCACTATATTGCAGCCTGAGTTGTCATAACCAACTGGGGAAGGAAGTATAGGATCATTTATCTTGCAATAAACAAAGAGCAAGTAATCTAAGCTGGGTACAGAGATTTAGGATTTCGAAAGCAATATTTCCTTATGGAGCATCGTTCTCATGGCAAGCAGTTTGATAGTTATCGCAATCAACTAAAAACAAGATAGATAATTTGTTCAACCACTGAATTTTAAATAATTTGATATTTCAACATTTTCTTCCAAATTGAATTTTCTACGGAGCAGAATCAATTATAATTTATAAATGCATAGTGGGACACAAATCAAGAACAAAAGAATGGTATTGACAAATACTGAAATGATAACTTCAAAAATAGAAAGCATTTCAAGATTCAGTAAAGAAGGTAACCAAGCAGAAAATGAACACTAATGTACCAAGAAATATTTAGCCCCTATTTGGTCTCCGTCAAAATTATAATTCATTTTTCTCTCTTTTTATCAACCACACATTTTCCAATAAAATAATATTACACGTAAACTAAAACTTTTCCTTCTTTTTTAACCACGCATTCTTAAAAAATATACTATTCCAAAATACATTTTTCCCAAAATCTAATTAAAATGGAGGCCGAACAAGGGCTTAAATGCACAAAGCATGATATAGAAGTTTAGAGAATAGTGGTTCTCTCAACAAAATAGATTTAAAGCATAATCAAAATGTGTTTTACATATTCTTCAAACAACTTAGCAAACATGAACAATATTTTACCAAGAACTTGTCTTGCAGTGAGTCGAAGCTTAAGATCAGGCTCCAACATCTGTCGTACAAGACTCTTGGCACTCTCTGAAACGCTTGGCCATGGTTCCCTTTCAAAGTCTATTTTCCCACGTATAATGGCCTGAGCAACACCTTGTTCAGATTCTGTGCAAAAACTTGCTTTAGACAGGTGATCAATCAATCATGGATGAAAACATGATTAAAAGAATATGGAAAATTGTAACATAATTCAGAGAAGCTGGTCTGAACTAATGTCAAAACACATGATTTCCAAATGACGGTCCTAATATTACAAACTCTAAAGAACTGGAAGGCAGACGGAAACTGTAAAGCAAGTGTTCGCCTGTACAAGAACAAGAAGCTTGCCACAGAGAGAGAGAGAGACTATTTTGAGGAAATTCAAATTACCAGCCCAAAATGGAGGAACTCCACACAACAAGATATAAAGAATCACCCCAGCACTCCATATATCTATTTCCGGTCCATAGTTTCGCTTGAGCACTTCTGGAGCCATATAGTAAGGACTTCCCACAATTTCAGAGAACTTTTCACCTAGAATTTCAGGAGTTAAAACCACTTTCTCACTCACATATTAAGATCATCAAACAGAAACAATATGCTTAGATATGAAAAAGAAATCACAAGTTGCTTGGTTTGATACACAAGAACAAAAAGCCATCACACATTTTTTCCAGCAAATACATGATTGTAATACAAATTGAACAACTGTGGAGTACCATGTATGTATCTTTTCCTTCATATATGGTGCCTAATTTCAATATTAATAAGCTTCCAATTTATTAACCTTAGTGTTAAAACCCATTTTCAAGCTAAATTCCAACCCATATGTCATTGACATAGTCAATCTTACTTGTAACCAAATAACAGTGTGGGGCAAGGATTATTTCCTTCGACACACCTTTCCTCACATTGATCTGGGCAGTCATCTGAGCTCAACGAACAAATTTTACAGAATTCAGGCAGACCAGAGGCAAATGCAAATGGCACGAAGACAACAAAGAGCCAAGCCAAATCAAATTCAGATAAAATGGACCCAAAATCAGTCTGCGGTGTATCCATCTTACTTTAAACCATTCTAGCACTGTATCAAGCAACAATTTAGACAAGGTTTTTTGTCATTCTTCACTATTCACACTTTGTGAGTAGTTAAAATAACAGAAACCAACCCTGTGAAGTAAGAGCATCAGGCATTTATAGACAACTTACAGGATCTTAGGAGAATTGAGCAATGCAAGTACAAGAAATTCAACATAGAAAGGGAGGGTAAGAAGATGATCTATTGATTAATGCATTTAAAAATACATCACTGGTGCATTCATGAATGTCAATTAACATAACACAACTTTCTTGATTTTAAACGTGAAACAAATACTTTGCTGGAAATAATTCACGGGACTTTCCAACTTGCTACCATCACTTTTGCAGTACTTGATATACTGTAAGCAGTTAAGAGTTATCTAACCTAGCCCAGTCAAGACCACTTGTTTATAATGAAAACATCCTAAAGATTAATATTTGGCAGAAGTGCATTTGACATATCAATTCTGATATCAAATACTGTGACAGAAAAAAGTGAACATTTATTTTAGCCAAATAAGTTCATATCATCCCAGTAGTCATCAGTCCAAATTCTACATATGTGCAAATTTTATGAGACAAGCTGGCATTAGAAAGTTTATTGTGGATATGTCATTAACGTTTTCAATGACGGCATTTGAGTTCAGGATATGATTCCATGGCATCATGGAATTTATAGTGGATTTGCAACAAACTAATGATGGAGAAACAGATACCCAGAAATATCACCCCCTGCCTAGCACACTTTTGACAAGTGAAAATGACTACATTTATATTAATCATTTCCTGATTAGCAATGAACACAAGGAAATAATTTTCTAATTGAATTAGAAAACCTAAGACTCAAAAACAGTGGTAGTCATATCATCTACATCAACCAATTATCATATGACTGAGCTGTAATCAGATAAGCTTCGAGGCAGTTGGTATAGACTGAAGCAGAAGAATAAGAACTCAAGGTGAAACCTTGATGCAACCTATAGTAAGAGAAAATTTTTTACTACTATCCTCAGTGGATCTCCCCATGGCTGTGTACAATACATATACAAACTAAAGCTTGGCGACTATCGTTGCTTTAGTATCTTAATTAATCCTATTTGTTTCCTGTTTTACCTAGCATATAGTCTAATAATACTAATTGACTCTTCTCAGGACATAAGTCAATCCAACATAATCCTACTCTAATATCACAGATTCCTTCAAAGTTGATAGGACATTGCAATTGCTTGAGTTCGCTATCAAACTTTAATCCAATGTATTTGTATTCCCTCATTCCATCAACCGAGTTAATGAACTCATAATCAAGCATTTCACTCACTCTTCATTGTAGCATACACTCAATTGATGGCTAAAAAATCTCCAAATGTTTCTGTTTGATCATAAAATCCTAAAACTATCCAAATCCTTGCCATTTCCATCAATCACCTTCAATGGAGTTTTAGGAGGACTGCAAAGCAACAGGAACAAATTCATGTCATCCTTCCCCAATGCTGACATAATAAGTCAGAGTTTCCCGAAAAGGATAGTTGCCTTCAAATAAGTATGAAACTCGTTCATTTGTAATGCAGTCCCACCAACTTCTTCCATGTCCCTCTGATTTTGGACCAAAACCACATACACCATAAACGAATTCATTTCATCCTTCTCCAATTCTGAGATAATAAGTCCGAGTTTCCCAAAAGGATAATCGTTTTCATCTAAATATGGCACTCTGTCATTGGTAATGCGGTCCAGTCAACTTCTTCCATGTCCCTCTGATTCCGAACCAAAACCACATATCTTTGCTCTCCCTTTATTATTTCCAACCATCTTCATGATCCATAAAAATAAAAAAAAATAAAAAAAATAAAAAAGACTCCTTTTAATTTTATTTTATCAAGTATCTTGGTTCCTCTTATATCTTGGTTCCTCTCATGTTGTGTTTGATACACATCATGTTGACTATGTAAGCTATTTCAGGAAAGATCAGCAGTTTAACTTCAGTTTGACATATTGATATTTAATATATTCATGGAGGTCAAGGTTACACTATGCTGTACCTTTCTGGTACTTCATATAACACAAAAATCCCACACACCAGGGAAAAAAAATGAAAATACAAAACAAAATAGAAGACATAGAAAAGCCGGTTGCAGATGTGATAAGAACTTAGATTAAACAAGGGACTGTCGTATTTATTAATATCTATATCTGCAGATAAGTACAACATTTATATACATAATACTCTAGCCTGAAAGAAATAAAACAGTAAAGTGCAATAACATCGAATAAATTCTTCCAATCAACCTTTTAGCTTCATGAACATAATCCATAAGTAATTAAAACTATTAAGTTACCGGGCTTAAAGAAGATTGACAAGCCAAAATCAATTGCCTTCAGAGGCGAATTCTCCTTCTTATTTGCAAATAAAAAGTTCTCAGGCTTCAGGTCTCTGTGGATGACCCCGTGCTTGTGGCAGAGCTGCACAACCTCAACGATGGTCCTAGTGACTGCAGCGGCCGCCCGTTCCGTGTAGTGCCCACGCGCCACGATCCTGTCAAAGAGCTCCCCACCCTCACACAGCTCCATCACCAAATGTACTGCATTTTCGTCTTCGCACGCCTCCTTGAACCTCACGATGCTCGAATTGTCAGGCAAGTGCTTCATAATCGCCACTTCCCTCCTCACATCGTCCACATCCACAGCCGTCCGCAGCTTCCGCTTTGAAATCGACTTGCAAGCCAATAGCTCCTTCGTCTCCCGTTCAATGCACAAATACGTAACCCCAAATTCTCCTCGTCCCAGCTCCCTATCCACTAAATACTTCTCCTCAATATTTTCCTTTTTAACGTCATTCAGAACAGTAATGGCCTTTTTAGTGTTGCCAGCCCCAGACTTGTCTTTTCGGCCCAGATCATGGCCGGAAAAATTGGATGACTTCACGTCTTCTCGGGCAACAGCCGCCGGAGATCTGCAGCAATTTCCCATTCAAATCGCGTCCAATTTTACCAATTTCCGACTCTAGCAAATAGACCCTTACGCCTAGGGTTTCACATCTGTGATGAGATGTAAAACCCAGACCCCCATTACGAATTTATAACGGTAAAAATAGCGCTTAAGATCAAAATGTGACTGATTTTTCACACAGAGAGAGTGTGTGTGTTTTGTGCTGCAATTTTAGGTGGGTACGGTAACGGATCAGATGCATTTGTAGGGGTAGCTGCTCTTTTGATTACTATTTTATTATTAAATTGCATTAAAAATGATGCATTTATTTTAGTGTGGATTCCGTAATATTTTGGTTCGAGCATGAATTTTGTCGGGTAACTGCAAGTTACTGGACGGTCGGAACGGGACGGGAAGAAGAGACAGGAGGTGGTCTCTGGGTTCATGACCTGGCAAACTATTCCTCACATTGGTTGGTGACTATAATCAAGTAGTAATGCTGCGTGCTCATTGGAATTGCAACTTTAGTCTTGGCATTACACATTTTGATACCATGCAAAACTTATAGTTTGTAGTTACTTAAATTATAAGTCAAAAATCAACCAAACACGCACTAAGAACCAAGTCGAAACATATCGAACATATATTTTTGTTTGGGTCTTGAAAGATCGCATGCATTTGCCTTTCATAATTTTGTTTGAAGGTGCAAAAAAGTATTGAAAAAATAGATATATTGTTGAGCCAATCATAAATAATTCCGTAAGATATTCAAAATTAGGGAAATTAGCCCTTTTCGTCATCAACGTTTGTAGTTTGTTACTGATATGCTATTGACATTTTCCTTAGCACCAAACATTCTCAACCTTATGAAAATATAGTAAAACTTATCTTTTTTATCCATTTTTTGTTGTTAAAATCACATAAAATGATGAATTTTTCTTCTTTCTAAATAAATACAAAAGAAAAAAATAAAATAAAATGGCATGGGTATGAGGAGGGGATAGGTTTTTCATTGCAAATGGCATGGATCGAGGAAGGTTGTTGGCTGGTGGAGTTGGTGTCGGTGGGAACTGGGAATAGTAGCGATGACAATGGTGGTTGGTTGGGGTAGATTGGGTTGGGGAATGAGTTCGGTTGGAGAAGACTTCTTCTTCTTCTTTTTCATTTTATTTGTATTTTTCCTTTTGTCAATTGTTTATAATTGTTTTGTGATCTATTTTTTCATTTTGAGAAGATATAGGATTCTAGTTGTAAAGATTTTTTATTTATTTAAATATAGGTTAAATTTATCATTTTATGTTTCTTTAACGGTCAAAATGAACAGAATAACGAGTTTTTCTAAATTATGGAAATGTCAATGACGTCTGCTAAAAAGATGTTAAGGATAGATTAGTAACAAAATGTAAAGACTGAAGATGAAAAATGCCAATTTCCCTAAAAACTTAAAGATTAAAAGAGGTATTCATTCCATGCTAAAATTATATGAAAAATGTAATTTTTGAGAATTAAGAGAAAAGATCCCATGTGTTGTCTGACTGATTGGCAAACAATTAATTTGTAAGGAATCATGTTGTCTGACTGGCTTCTTTGTACCTATCTGACATTCTAACAAATTAAATTAAATTAAAGAATGTCTCTCCTTTGTTTATTGAGTAATATTATATAGCCCTTGTTTGAATCTCATTTTTGTAAAGAAAATGAATTTTTGAATAATGTATTGATGAAAAATATGTGGTTAAAAAATAAGAAATTTTTTTTATTTGCTTATAATATTATTTTATTGAAGAATGTGATTGAAATGATGTCAAATCACTTTTGAAGAATGTATTTTGGTTGAAAAATGGGGCTCAAACAAGGGCATAATCTTATCGGGATTACAATCCAGTTTAAGAGTTAAAATGATATGTTAAATGAAATGTGAAATTAAATGAATCATTTAATCGCACTTATCATTTAACGTCACTTAAACTGGGGTTGCAATCCTAATGAGATTAAATAACATGACTTTTATTTATTGCAATGGCACCTTGTGATGGGAAATTAATCAACACCAGCGTTAGAGAAGAAACGAAAAAATAGTAATTCGAGAAGATGAAAGATGAACAAGAAGATCAAATCAATATGAAGGCTCAAACACGAAAATAATCTCGCTGTCCTTGAACGATATTTGACGAATGGCTCATAGGATTGATCAAACCTTGTTGCAAAAAAATACTAAAGTATAAATGATTTTCAACCCGAACTTGAAGAACACAAGAGGGAATTATTTGAATATGAAAATAGAAAGAATGCTTTCTTATGGAATGTAAAATTAGTTTCTCATATGATTTTTCAATAATATGTATTGATCCTTCAACATCTATTTATAGATATCAATCAATACCTCACGAATTGGTGCCAAAAGTCATGAATAGATACAAGATTTCCTCTGAAAGCCAACAAAAAACTAAATAAAAATTACCTCCTACGATCACTTTAAATGTACTATGCGACCGCATGGTTTAAAGTCATGTGATCGCATGGTTTACCTTGCGACCATCCCCAAATTCTCAAGTGACGGCCATGCAAATGGTCCATGCGGTCGCATGGACCAAAATTTGGGTCTCCATTTTGTTTTATTCCATTCCACATATGTTTATTGATTTTTGAACAACATTTTTCCAACAATCCCCTACTTGTTCAAAATTTCAATAAATTCTCATATTCAAAGTATACAATACTCATGCGAAAGGATTAGATACCTTTCGATTTGAATCTAACCATAATGCAATGCAATCAAAGTAAAGTTGGAATCAAAAGGTAGCGTGAAGCTTTGAACCAATTGTTCCAAGTGACAATACCGATTCAAACACACACACGAGTACCACGTGTTCTTAAGTTCCTCATAACTCGCTTAGCGCTGTTATGGCCTTGCGCTCATCCTATTCAACAAACTTTTAAGAGATAAACTCCAACTCTCAATTGAGGCGGCACCACCTCGAAGTTTGTTTAGGTAAAATTCTTCCATTACTTTTATTACTTTTAAAGGTACTTGTATTTTAGCATTGAATTTCATTAAGAGCTTTAATGCTCAACCCTTACTTCAATAACAACTAGCATTATTTTAATTAGGATAGGGTTATCGCGGATTTTAATAATGCTGCAATCATCGACATATCGAATGACTTGTTGTTACCCTTTGAACCCCTATATTACTTTTTGAGTAATGATAGGTAGAGTTGTCATCGTTAGTGGACTTTTTTAGTTTAGGAGTTTCAACCCCATCCTACTCAAAGTAGATGCCACTAAAATTTTATTTAGTGTCTAGTTAAAGGATCCGATAAATTCTCTTTAAAAATTATTCCATCTTTGATAATTTCCTCGTGACGTCACCTCTAAGATTTATATACCTTCTCATTTCATGTGATATAGTGTCTTATCAATATATAACTAGTCAATAATCGATTCATTTGATAGATACAACTCGTCACCATCAAGAAATTTTTTATGAAACCACATGCTTCTCACTCGCTTTATTTAAAGCTTTATAGATTTCAAACATAGTTGAAGGATTTTTATTAAATCATTACACTTAGTCAATTACTTTTGTGGATTTTATTCGTGTGTATTCACTTTCATCGTTGAGTCTTTACAATGATTTTCAATAGCATGAATATTATTTAAATATTCAAATTGTTTTGCAAACATCATAATCGGCTTTAACCCAATTTATCCACATTAAACTTAGTGTATCCATCCTTACATTTATATATAAAGATTTTCCACCTTTTCTCTTTTATAGATATATTTCTATGATTAAAAGGTTTGGGGAACTTTAACTTTTATATAAAGTTACCCCCACAATTCCTTAATTAGAAATTCTTATGTAATCTTGTAATATTGCATCCATATATCTTTGAACTTCTCATATAAGTTTATAAGATTAATGTTAACCCTCATATTTTGAGTTATACTCGAACTTAGAATTCTTCAATATGTCAACCCTACATTTGGGGTTGTATTCGTTAAGTCACTATGTACTTCAATCCAACTATTTTTAATTTTGATCCCACAATTTGATCAAGATCATCTCATAGACCGTTAATGCTTTTCAAGCACAAACGAACTCAATTGGTTCCACGACTAAAGTCCAATTCAACAACGAACAAGACTAAGCATATTAATCTCCAATCGTTTGCGATTTATCACTTTCATGACCTTCACTAGATATCATCATATCATCTTAAACGATAAGGTACATATTCACCTTAGTTATATTTGGATAAAATCACATTTTGTCATACTCATTTGCAATCTCACTTAATTGCACAGAATTAATTTAGGCGAATTAATTGAAGCTATCAATTCAACTAAATATGAAAATTTAACCAACTAAACTACCACATTCAAACTTTTCCAGATTTGAATGAAAATGATATTCGGCACCACCACCAACTATAGACACAATTTGTGCTCTATAAAATATTTCAACATCTTAATAATTTCGCAAGCACTTTTCACTAGAACAAATCACAACTTGTCATGCTTTTATGCAAATATAATTGGCATAAAATCATCTCATTAATACCATAGGATTAAATGAGGCTATCAAAGTTAGCCCAAGTTAGTCAAGACATGAAGTCAATCAACAAATAGTTGGCATTTTTCAATACTACTATCTTGTGCATATGAACCATTCCCAATAATTGGATAAGCAATTTCCACTTTAAAATAATTTGTTATCAAAATATTTCACATTTAATCATATAATGGACACCAAAACAAGCATCCTCAAGTGAGCACCATCAATTCAAATATACATATACATAACTTTTGTGCAAACAGGTACCTCATTAATGCACACCATTTAACGGGTTTTGATAGACGGTACAATTCAATTTTCTAATGGCTTTCAATTCCAAAGGAACTGACAACCAAAAGAATGCAAACAAAAACTATTTCATGCCAAACAATTTCATTTATTTGCATAATGGAATTTACTAAATCTCCATTATGCATGCAACGTGAAAAGACGTCATTTAAATGACAGCCATCATTAAAATGGAATTGATGACTTGGCCAGTTCACCATACGATTATCAAGTCTATCATGTGCCCGTAACCATGAACCCACTTTCACGTATAATACCATCCATGGCGACAACAATTCAGGATTCTTGGCCTTTAATGGAATCACATCATTGGAATCACATCGTTTTGGTACCAAATTTAAGAAATCGGACTTTAACAATTGCCAATTTAAATTTCGTACATACTCCAATTCAATTAGATTGGAAATACAAATGCAATCTGACTTTCAAGTATGTTCATGGAATATCAACAGATTTATGCAAAGATCAGTATATGCATTAGAAATCAAATATTTTCATGCCAAATAGATCCCGTTTCCACAATTGGTTTATATTTAAAATGAAAGGTCACCATTTAATAAACTGGACCACTTGTATT